CCCTCTCTAATATGAAACAGCTATGTGTGTGTGTGTGTGTGTGTGTGTGTGTGTGTGTGTGTTCTGTACACATGTAACCACTGCAGACATTCCTCTTTTATGATACGCAACTGCTGCACTGTCGGTGTGTCTGCAGCAATATGTCATGAAAATAAACTATAAATAGTAGAATTGATTGATACATTGACTGCCTCTCTTACCAGGTGCTGAGTTCACTCGTCGTGCAGATGTGGTCTTCTACCCTGGCAACCAGCGGCTGACAATGACCCAGACGGGCCGTGGCCTTGACGACCACAACCACCTCACCGTGGATACCGTGCTCAGCGGCCAAGTGCCTTTCATGCCCCCTGGGGCTGAAGTCGTCATGGATCCCTTCAAGGAGATCTACCAATACTATCCATCTGGTAACCATAACAACCACAAGAGTCAATCTTCTGGGAACAATCAGTTACTCCGTTTGCCCTAAAACCTTTCTCTTTCTGCAGTTGCCACCTCCACCTCCGTGAGGGAGTTTTCAGTGGTTTCGGCAGAGCGAGGCTCAGAGTCCTTCTCCTTCCAGCTGAAGCAGAACATCACATACCGCGACTGTCGACACGACAACCGCGCCGCCGCCGCGGAGACGCTGCAGATCACCATGGAGAGGGTGTTTGTGATGTACGTCAAGGAAGAGCGGATCCTGAGATACGCCATCACCAACAAGATCAGCCCGGTCGGAGGTGAGTCAAACTGGGATAAGATGGATACGTCACCTGCAGATGTCAGGCTTTCATTACAAACCAGATGTGGTGCCATCAGTTATATTTACTGTTGAGCTGATCAATACTTTCATCCTAATCCACGTGGCTGAATAAGATCAAATACTTTGATACTACATAAGGATGTTTATCATCCAGCCTACTCTTTAAGGGCATTACAACTAACAAACAACATTAATGTAAGAAGAATCAAAGGTCTTAATTGTAAGATTCAGTCTTAATGTTGTCTCAGAGGCTCTCCGCCCTCAGGAGAGAATAACTGTGATGAAAGAAAATAGAGTAAACCTTAATTAGTTCCTGAATGGCAATTTGTTTTTCTGCCAGTGGTCATTAAAAACATAAACAGAAGAAACAGAAACAGTTACAATACATCAAACCTAAAAACAACAACAAACAGACTATAACATGGTGCGCTGAATGAGAACAATTTGTTCCACATTTCAGTACTAACTAGAGAAATAGTGGATACGTGTATTCATCAGCCTTCACAAGCTAAATCTGAACTAGACTATAATCTTGTGTGAAGTTTGAAAACAGCGTCACTAGAATCAGTTTGAGTAAACATATCAGTACAGACGACCTGGGGTCAGAGGAACGACACAGATTGGCCTCAAACAAAAGGTCGACATTGGCCTATTGTATTGGGAACTGAGTATCTGAGAGACTGAATCTACTCCAGACCATCACTGTCAATCTTGAAGAGGGCGAACACACTGGAGGCGTTGAAAACGTGAGGTTTTTCTGTTCCAGAGCCACAACTAGCAACCAGACCACCTCGTAATTGTTGCAGTGCTGCCACAGAAACCTCAGCCAAACCACGGCGCTGAGTTGGACAGGGCTCAGCTTTAAACACACACACTGAGGGCTAATTATACATTGAAACCATAGAAAACAATGTTAAAATGTCTGTATTACCTCTGCTGTTTCTGGACTCATTGTCTACCGAAGGCTGCAGACACACTACACCACTCTAAGGATCATTGTAACCGCAGTTTGCGTCACAGCTGACTTTAGATATTTGACCAGTTTGGTTTGTTCATGCAGACGATTAGCATTTAAGACTCAAATTTAGACGAGTGTTGACATGTTTCCTGAAGGGTGAGCTGGTCGTGCAGTTAAAGCTAAATGGAAGTCAATGATATTTTAATGAGAGTCTAGCTTGAGGAGAAATAAATTAAAGAAGAGTTAAATGTCCCCCTCATTGTTGGGTTTGGTATCTGAAAGTACTTTGTACAACCAGAACATGAAACCAAAACCACAAAACTTAATGACCAAGAAATATATAGCCAATTTAAAAATGTTTTTGGACTTGGAATGCAGTTTTTGAATGATTTTTATCTAAATTGCTGAAATAAACTTGAAATTGACTGTTAAGGGAAATTCAGACCACATAAATGGGAGTATAAATGAATTAATATAACATACTATTATCTCTAGTTGTGGCTGTCAAACAGATTTAATGTATCTTTTCCTATTTATGTTCTCATGGTTGTTGTGTGTGAATGTTAAATCCAGCACTTTGACCAATATCAGCCAGAGAACCAGAGGTTTCTTAGGGATCTTTTGGAATAAGGAAGCACTTGTTTAATTATATTTGATTAGTTAAAATGTTTCTCTCACACTGTTTCTATCTGACATCATCTGCACTCCTCCGATCTCCATTTACCGGCAGAAAAACAGGACTGTACAAATATGGAAATGTGTACAGAAATACGGCGTGGACATGTGTCATGTTCTTTCTCTGTCAACACACGGTGGTCATGCTTTCTTTACACACTCTGATGGAAACCAGATAGACACAGAGAGAGACATGAGACCTCAAACGACGGAGAGGAAAGGAAGAGATAGAGAGAGAGAGAGAGAGAGAGAGAGACTCCCCCCAAGCTTTTGAATCCAGACCAAGTTTCTGTCATTTAAACGTCAACACGTTGATTAAAAAGGTTATGATGACACATTTCCACATGCACACGCACACACACGCTGATACACCCAGAGCACAGCTGGAAGAGCTTTCGGGGATCAGGGGTTTTGTAAACACGGGTTAAGTGGTGTGTATGTGTGTGTGTGAAAGAGAGAGAGAGAGAGAGCATGTGTGTGTGTTCAAGGGTCTTACACTTTCTGGGAAATAATATCCCAGCCAATGACAGATTTTTTAGCGGGGGGGGTTGCCAGGCAGAATAGCTGCCCACTGATGTCATGAGAATCATGGATTGCAGGAGAGTGAGAGAGGGCGAGAGACATTGAGAGAGAGATATAGAAAGACTCTGTTGTTTGCTGTATGTTATTATTCAGTCACCTTATTTCCATATGTGGTTGATAAAGGTTTAATCCAGTCTTATTGTTTCTTACAATGCAACCCGGCCTCCGGCCCCCACTGCTTCTTATTAAATTCTAGATTTAATTAGCATAGATTGGACCATAACATGTTTATTATTATAACACATAATCCAATGTTTTAAACCCCTTTTGTGTCTTTTTTCTTGTGTTAATTGGCAGCAGCATAAATGTGCAGTATTATTTGTAGTAAATAGGCTGCAGCATACAGAAACACTACTGTGGGCCTTTAAAGGTCTAGTGTGTAACATTAAGGAGGATCTATTGGCAGAAGTGGAGTATAATATTCATAGATATGTTTTAATTAATGTATCATCACCTCATAATAAGAATTGTTGTGTTTCGTTACCTCTGGTGCTCTACAAAGTCCACCATGTTCCTACATTAGCCCTGAATGGACAAACCAAACACTGGCTCTGTCAGGCACCATAGTTTCTACTTTGTGCTTAGATGGGAAGAGTGAAGCGAGGAAGTTGCAATCCAACTACACCACTCGATGCCATTAAATCCTACACACTGGTCCTTTAAAATGTGTTTCAGTCTTTAGTATAGTTGAATAGAAATGAGTGGAAAAAGAATGAAATAGAAATAAATGTTTGATTTGTGAGTGACAGATTTTATGAAAACAGTAGATGCAGTTTAGTTCCGTGAACGAGGCCTTAAGAGCTCTGCATCCTACATTTCCCATAACGCCACTCATTATTAGATTTCATTAGACCCTCCCTGCCAGTCTTAATGCCCTTTTCCTTGTAAACTCAATGCCCTCAGTTAAAAATGCAGGATTTCTGTCAAATATTAACCTAGATAACCCTGATGACATCACTGTGACGTCGTCAGGGTCGGTGGCGTTCCCCTTTCAACCTTTGGCTTTAAACTTACAGATGTGTTTGTCAAACTGGACATCCTGGATCATATTTTATCGTCTTGCCACTTGCTGCCCCTTGAATTTATTTAACAAAGTGCTGTTTACGGCCTGAGCGCTGCTTTCATCCCTTTTTTAAACACCACGCTCTCTTAAATTTCAGGTCATTTCAACGTGTCAGTAAAAGTCAGTGATGATAGACGGATAATTCGAGGGTGATTCATGGGATTTCAAGGGTAGCCAGTGCACCTTGGCCATCTTGATACAGTTAGTGCTATGCCTCTGTAAAAGCAGTGTGTGTGTGTGTGT